ATACTTTTTTCTGTAAAAGGGCTTAACTTTTTATATACTAAGAGATAATTTTCTTTTTTTCTTTCACTTAACAGTTTTGTTTTTAATTGATTACCCCCCCCCCCCCCAGTTTTATCTTCTACCAAGAACCATAAGTATTATCATAATCAGTAAACATGAGCAGATTGGTCACAATGACAACAAATACAAAGCTTTTTTTATTGGCGTTTCCAATCTCGCAACAGAAAAATATCGATGATGAATCATGGCTTCGCTTGCAACAATATTAGAACATCATTAAAAATGTGAAAATGGAGTTTGCTTTCACCATTTGTAACAGTTCCATTTTCATTTATTAACAAGCTATTAAGATTATACATCTTAAAGCATTACTGAAGAATAATCATTAACATTTTTGAAATCAGAGAAAAAATTGTAAGTTTTTAATTATAAATTAAGCAAAAGAATAATTGCATTGGTAAAAACATAAATACTTACTCATTTATTTTATGATGCAAATAAATAAAGAATGAAAACAAGAAAAATAAATTTTTTAAAATTTTATAAGATTTGAGTTTATGCTTGAGAAATAACCTTTTGGTGTATATCATATTTTCCGGTTAACAATTATAGTATCTATGCAAACTTTACCCAACTGTAAGACCTATCCTGTTTTCATGTAATCATTTTTTGTGTATGAATTTGAAAGCCTTTAGTCAAAAAGTATTATAGTATTTATATTTTTTGTTTATTATGGTATCTCATATAGACAGAAAATGTGTATATTGTCCAAAATAGTTGTGTAGAAATTAGAAGATAAAGATGGAAAAAGCTTCAAAATATTTTTATTTATATTGCTTAGTGCTTACCATCCCAAATTTACTTCTATTAACAATTAATCTTGAATTTCAAAATTTTAATTTCATTGTATAATTTACTTTTAATGCATATAATCATAATTATATATTTAAATATAAATTATTTCATAGTTTAAATTAACTATTTTATTTTGTAAAATGAATGGAGAGGCATTCAACGTACTTTAAATTATCTAATTATATATATAGATATTAAATAGTTAAATATAAAAATATATACAGTATAATATCTATAAATTAATACTGGATAAATTAATAATTTAAATAAATTAATAAATTTCAGCAGTCCCAACTTGGACCGGTTCAAAACTGAAATTGATAAAATAATAAGATAATAATTTGTAAAAAATTCATGTAAATATATGCTCCCATAAAAATAAGAAATTTATATTTTATATATATATATATATTTCATATAAATATATATATATATATATATATATATATTTCATATAAATAAGAACCTATGATTATGTTATTTGTTTTATATTCAAAATGGAATTAATATTTATATTTTCTTAACATTTAATATATTTTTAATAAGATATAATATTATAATCTAAAACCACATTAAAATTCTATGCAGTATATATTATACATACGTTTACCAAAAAAATATGTTATATAAACCAAATATATATAAAATTAATATAAATGTCAAATTTTTTTTAAAAAAAAGAAAAAACTACACTTAAACCAAATTTTTATTTTATTTTAAAATAAATATATCTTAAAATAAGAAATCTAGATAAGGAAACTTATACAAAATAAATATATCTATAGATTAATAAGATTTCAAATTGCAATATTAATAATTTATAGAGGTTCTTATTATACATTACGGAACAACCAAGCATCTCTGTTGAGGGAGATATAAAGCATAAACAATCAAAAATATAAAGTTGTCGTGTTGACAAACAGTATCCCTACAATATATAAAGGTAAAAAATAAATAAAAACTTGAACGTCTAATACATACTGATTAAAAACCTTATTAACAAAAAAATATAATTCCCTTCTCAAGATATGTCGCACATTTTTACTTTAACAAAACAATAAGAATCGTCAATGACTTCAAAGAAAATATAAGAGTGAGGTTCAATACATGAGTTAGAGCTAGACCTCTCATTTACACCTTAACTCAGAAGATAACAATTGAAGAAACACATGTAAGAAAAACTTTTGACATTATCTAGACTGTTTTTTTTCCGACCAAACAGGAAATTTTATTTCGAAACTCAAGTTTAGAATTTTGCAAACTAATGAAAGTAATTTACTGCAAAATGTGAAAAATCTACATGCAACTTTCAAACAAAAAAAACTAACGAAAGTAATTTACTGCAAAATGTGAAAAATCTACATGCAACTTTCAAACAAAAAAAACAGACCATATCTCCTCGCATATACTATATTCTACATAGTACATAGTTTACATACTTATGACAATTTTGTAATATTTTATATACACATAACAAAACTAAGTGTAATATTTAAAAAGTAACTATCCGCGCGTAGTGCGGAAAACTCTCTAGTAGAAAAAAAAGTTTCATGCATTGTTGATGAAGAAAAAAAAGTATTACGTGTGGTGTTTGTTGGGTTCCTTCTAGATGGAGGAAACCCATTGGGTTTGGTTGGTGATAACCAAACTTAGAAGTTGGGCCATTGATATTAGTCCATAAGATTAGTATGGGGTCTTAGGGGTTAGTGAGACACTATATATAAAGTCTCTTGACCTAGTTTTTGAGAGTAACAAGAAAAGAAGTTTTAGACAAAAGAGAGAAAGATGCAGAATTTCGTCTGGATTTGTCAAGGCGGATTTGGAGGGTAACACGGATTCCTTTTGAGCTGATATTTTTTGGAAAGCTTCTTCAGTCAGTGGGTTAAAGGTTCACCGAAGGGATTTGGATTTCAACGGTTGGATCTTCTGTTGTCTGGGTTTTCGTGAAGCTGGTCGTCACAATTCTTCAGCAGTGTTGTCTTGAGTGTTTGGTAAATCTGACGGTGAGATCTTCTCTGTTTGAGCTGAAATTTGGGAGAGTTGTTTTTGACTTGTGTATCTTGGATTTGTACGGTGGGATTAGTCTCTGGTTGCCGGAATCCTTGTGAGCTGAGGTCGTTTGGTTACTGCCAGTTTTGAAGCTTTGTGTTACTCTCTCTTGTTGTTGTTGTTCTTGTGTTGGAGATAGCTCTTTGTAGCCAGTGTCTCTGTTCTGTTCAGGTTTTTGAACAGGGAGGACGTGGTTGTACTCACATACATTTATATAGTGGATTGTTGAGTGGACTACGGTCCCGTAGTTTTTCCTTCTCACATCGCGGAGGTTTTCCACGTAAAAAGTGCTTGTCTCATTTAGTTATCGCTTATATTATTTCCTGCTATCGTCGAAGTATTTTCCTCATATATTCACACAAGGTCGGGGGAACTTGTACACATATTCCGCTGCGCCGTGTCCCGTTTTCCCAACAAAGTGGTATCAGAGCTTCTGGTTTTCTTAGAGCTTTGGGTTTGAGAACTTCGAGTTATTGTTGCTTGTGTGAATGATGGAGAACATGGTAACAAACATGGGCAGGATGATAAGCTTGAATGGTGCTAATTATCATCTATGGAAGGAAAAGATGGAGGATCTTCTCTTTGTTAAAGAATTCCATCTTCCGGTATTTCAGGAGAAGAAACCTGATAACAAGACGGGTGATGAATGGAAGCTGCTGCATCGCCAAGTGTGTGGGTCGATAAGGCAGTGGGTAGATGATAATGTGTTGCATCATATTGAGACTGAGATTGATGCTCGTTCTTTGTGGTTGAAGCTGTAGCAGTTATATGCTAAGAAGACCGGAAATAACAAGATGTACATGATCAAGAAGCTGATTGGGCTGAGGTATCAGGAGGGAACTCCAATGACGGATCATCTGAATGAGTTTCAGGGATTGCTCAACAAGTTGTCTGATATGGGCATCAGGTTTGATGATGAGATTCATGGTTTGTGGCTTCTAGGTACTTTACCAGACTCTTGGGAGGTTTTCAGGATGTCTCTTTGTAACTCCGCATCGGAAAGTGTTATTTCGATGGATTCAATGAAGAACAGTGTTCTTAATGAGGAAGCAAGAAGGCAGTCAAATGCTAGTACTTCGCGTTCAGATGTTGTGGTTACTGAGTCAAGGGGGAGAAATTCACAAGAGGGAGAAGAACAGGACCAGGAGCAAGTCTAATAGATTTGCAAATTTGGAGTGCTATTTTTGTCATAAGAAAGGGCACATGAAGAAGGATTGCTGGAAGTTGAAAAACAAATAGCAAGGTAATCAAGAAGAGAAGGTGGATCGGGTGACCGTCACCGAAGATCAGTTTCTCATTCTTCTTGAGGGTGACGCCATTAATATCGCATGCCAAGATACCAGTTAGGTGATTGATGGTGGAACTACTACTCATGCTACATCACAGCGGGATTTGTTTTCTACCTATACTATAGGTAATTATGGTTCCGTGAAGATGGGGAATGATGGTTTGGCTTAGGTTGGTTGGCATTGGTAATATTTTCTTGGAGACTAGTCTTGGGACTAGGCTGGTGCTTAAGGATGTTAAGCATGTTCCTGATATTAGGATGAATTTGATATCAACGGGAAGACTTGATGATGAGGGTTTCTACAGTTTGCACGGTGGTGGTAAATGGAAACTCTCTCATGGTTCTTTGATTGTGGCTCGAGGTGAGAAGTCTTCATCTTTCTATTGGATGCAGGCTAAGGTCTCCAAAGATGCTATTAATGCGGTGGAGAATGATAATTCCATGGAGTTATGGCATAAGAGACTCGGTCACATGA